CCTCTCGCTTGTGAGGCGAGCGCTCTAACCACTGAGCTCCAGGACTCCACATAGTCAAGACTGACACTCCTGGAGTGTATGGGATGGCGAAGGGACGAGGGGGTGGTGGGGGAGGGTGGGTGGGGGGGGGGGGAATGAGGAAGTTTGCATTGTCCGTCCTTTCGGTGGGGACATTAAATTGAGGTTCCTTCGCCTCATGGCTCTTGAGGCGACCCACAGTTCGTCGAAAAATGATTGCTGCATTCTCCTACAAAAATCAGCTAACCACACTTGACAGTAATTACTGTGCAGCACTTTGAGACGTGATAAGGTTATCAAAATACAAGTGTTTCCTTTCCAGTAAAATTAAAAGGCAGATGGCAGACAAAGAGGGAGTGGTGGGAGGGGTGGGGGGGGGGGCAGGGGAGAGGGAATCAGCATCCCTCACTATTCCGTATGTCCAGTATATGTTTAAAGAGCCCTGTGGTTAGAGCACTCGCCTCGCAAGCGAGAGGACCTGGGTTCAATTCCTTGGTACGGGGAAACTTTAGGTAAGTTTCCTTACTCCACGCACTTATTATTCTGGTTACTCAGCAGTAAGTTGGAACCCGGTTGTTAGTCGATTGGCGGATCGCTTTCCGGGGGTAATAATCTCTCCAAAAAAAAGGATTATTATTCATTATTATTACACTTGGTTCTGAATGGTCTAAACCTGTGATGTCCCTTCACACCCTAACCCCGTTCCTTGCCTCTCTGACCTGCTCGTACCCCACTCCTCTGCCCCCTCGCACCCCCCACCTTCACTCAGCGAGCACAAACCTGCTGCGTGCTTTGACCCTCCCAGTTTCCCTTTATTTAACCCACACCCACCGCAAGAAACGTACAGTTCCTTCCCTCGAGAAAATGCCACTTTACTTTCACAACCGCCAAAGATTGATGATCCAAAGCAGTTCTTCCACAAACCCGTGAACTTCAATGCCTTTCTCTTGGCTTTCCCACTACCACAAATGGCTGCCGTGTTTCCCCCACAAATACTCAGTCACTTCACTTTGCAGTCCATTCTGCGAAGCGCTTTGAGACGTCGCGAAGAGGTGAAAAGGTGCTATATCAAATGCAAGGATTATTATTATTATTATTATGGCCAACATGTTACTGTCTGTTGCTCCTTTCTAATTGAGGGCTGCAGTGTCAGTTTATATATCTGTGTATGTGTGGGGGGGTGTTGGGGGGTGGGGGGTGGGGAGGTGGGTGGAAGGGATGGAAAGGATAAATTCCAGGATTGGGTTTCCCTCGTTTAGATTCCGCCGGTGCTTGCCGTTTATGCACCTACGTCAGATGCGGTGATGCTCATTATCCGCTTGAATTGGCCCCAGATCAAGAGATCGCCAAGAGAAAAAAAATGGGTGACTTGAAATGAATTCGAGCTTCATCAGAACTCTGCAAGCGCAGCATTTAACAACAGAGGGCACTTCACACCGACTGCTCCTTTCAGCGAATGGAGCGAAACCTTGGCTCTGGAACAACGTATGGTCCCACACCTCAAGCAGTGCTTCTCAGGACTCCAGAACGTCAGGGTAAGTGACTGAGCCGACCCGGACCCTGCGAACGTGCAACGCTGTTTGCTGGACATTGATTCGGAGGAGACGTTAAACCGAGGTCTTGCTTGTTCAGGCGGATGTTAAAGAGCTCGTGGTGACGGTCCCCCAAAATAAAATTGGTCACTCGCTCCGCGGCTGTTTGTGGGGACGCTGCTGTGCGCAATTGGCTGCCGCGTTTCGCCCACAAAATACGCAGTCAATGCGCTTTGCAGTCTACCCTGTGAAGCGCTTTGCGATGCCTCGACGAAGTGAAGAGATGCAACATTAAATGCAAGGATTATTATTAGTCTGGACCGAGAACTCAAAGCCCTGACCTGGAGCTTGTGAACCCACAGCTTTCTGAGGCAACAGCAGCAACAACAACAAGATTACATTTGTACAGCGCCTTTCAAGTCGGGAGGACGTCCCAAGGCGCTGACAGCACAGCAAAGAGCCAGGCTGTGTGCTTATCTTTTCTGTTCTGCGGACACGGAGAGAGAGAGAGAGAGAGAGAGAGAGAGAGGGGGAGAGAGGGAGAGAAAATCTGAAATAAGGGCTGGAAATCCATAGCAGATTAGGAAATGTACCACAGTTGAAACTGATTAACGGTGTATTTTGACCCCTGGCTCCCAATTCTCACTTGGCTGATAAAAAAAAAACTTCGGCCAAACATACGGTACATATTCCGTGAAGAGTTTTGAGACGCCTCTCAGCCACGTGATAAGGCGCTACTTTCAGCGCCTTTGGGATGTCCTCCCAACGCGAAAGGCGCTATACAAGTGTCACTTGGTATTGCGTGGTGTCACATGCAAGGATTATTCCGAGGTAAAAATAAAATGCAGTTAAGTAAATATTGTGTACGTAAACATTGAATGATTTATATGTAAAATATTTTATAGAAAGCTCCCGATATCTCGACACCGACACCGACTGAACGTGTCACCGCCACCGAAGTCATTGCGTTGTCACAAATCCCGGCCGCGTTTATTCATGTATTTAATACACGTTCCCTGATAACTCGTCGCTGAACCCCTTTTCCCTGAGAGTGACGGGTTAGCAAGAGTTTAACTCTATTCAAGCAGATAAATATTTGTTGGGAGGGGGGGTTTATGGGTTATGCCATAAACGTAAAGAAGCACTGTTTCTTCGAGTCACTAAATAAATAAAAATCAGCGAAACGTGTGTTTTTTGGCGAAAAAAAAGACACTTTTGAATAAAACGACAACTATTTAGGTATATTTGCCCGTGGCGTCAGGCGGTCATCTCTCAAAAGGCTCGACGCGGCTGGAGGGCACTAAGGACAGGCGGATGTACACCCCCGGCTCTGTACCAAAACTATCCATCCTGGCAGCTTGACACGTTCGTGCCCCCAATACCGCAGCGACTTGCATTTACATGGGCCCCCCCCTCACCCAGGGTAGCGTCTCGAGCTGGGGGGAAAGGCGGTGGTGACCGCGGGCACGGTCGAGGTTCTGACCGCTGTCCATCCGACCGACCGACCGGCCGGCCGGCGGTTCGACAACGCTCGACGGAAATTAAACCTTAAAGGGTTTTTTTTTGCTCCTTTTGGGGGAAAAAAAAGTCAAGTGGGGGTCAAAGGGAAGGTGTTTATCACGTGGGGCGAAAGGGATTTCACGTCCCCCCCTTTTTTGGGGGCACAAAACCCGGCTGTAAGTGATAGAAAAACCTGACGCGCTGAGAAAAGACACAAACGCACAGGAAATCAGGTTGCGCTGCTCCTCCCGGACTAACGTTGGACCTTTCCGAGGAGGGGGGGGGGGGGGCCCTCTGGAGTGCTTCGCTTCCCTCCGCACGTGCAGAGAGAGAGAGCTACGCGCACTGTCGTGAGGGTTATTTCGGCTCTCAACAGCACACAGCATTCCCTTTGCATGACGCGCACACGCAACCGCAGCTACAACAACAACAACAACAACAAGATTGCATTCATGGAGCGCCTTTCACGTCGGGAGGACGTCCCGAGGCGCTGGGCAGTTGGGTCGGGACCCGAGCATTGGGGGGGAGGGGGGGGGGGTGGGGGGGGGAATGGTCAGGGTGAGGGGAGGGAGAGCGAGGAGGGGGTAGAGGGTCGAGAGAGGAGCTGAAGACGCGGTGGAAGAGAAACACGGGTCACACACAGGTCTGGGACGGGGATCGGAAGGCAGTGGTTGCGAAGTTACTGCTTAAGACGGGTCGGATGATGCCTCGTCTCAATCTCTCCCCTATCTGTCTCCCCGGCTTCTCTCTCTCCCTCTCCCCTCTGTGTCTGTCGCTCTCTCTCTCCATCTCTCTGTCTCTACCCCCCTCTGTGTGTGTCTCTCTCTCTCTCCATCTCTCTGTCTCTACCCCCCTGTGTGTATGTGTCTCTCTCCATCTCTATCCCTGTGTGTGTGTGTATGTGTCTCTCTCTCCTTCTCTCTGTCTCTACCCCCCTGTGTGTCTCTCTCTCTCTCCATCTCTCTGTCTCTACCCCCTGTGTGTGTCTCTCTCTCTCCATCTCTCTGTCTCTACCCCCCTGTGTGTGTGTGTCTCTCTCTCCATCTCTCTGTCTCTACCCCTCTGTGTGTGTGTCTCTCTCTCTTCATCTCTCTGTCTCTATCCCTGTGTGTGTGTGTGTGTGTGTGTGTGTGTGACTCTCTCCATCAATGTCTCTATCCCTGTGTGTGTGTGTGTGTGACTCTCTCCATCAATGTCTCTATCCCTGTGTCTGTTGTCTCTCTCTCCATCTCTCTGTCTCTACCCCTGTGTGTGTGTGTCTCTCTCCATCTCTCTGTCTCTACCCCTCTGTGTGTGTGTGTCTCTCTCTCCTTCTCTCTGTCTCTAACCCTCTGTGTGTGTGTGTCTCTCTCCATCTCTCTGTCTCTACCCCTCTGTGTGTGTGGATCTCTCTCTCCATCTCTCTTTCTCTAGGTCTCTCCCCTCTCCCTTTTCCCCCTGTGTGTGTGTGTGTGTGTGTGTGTCTCTCTCTCTCCCTCTCTCGCTGTGTGTCTCTGGAGCTCTGTGTACCCCTCTGTGTGTGTGTGTGGGTGTCTGTCTCCATCTCTCTGTCTCTAACCCTCTGTGTGTGTGTCTGTCTCCATCTCTCTGTCTCTAACCCTCTGTGTGTGGGTGTCTGTCTCCATCTCTCTGTCTCTAACCCTCTGTGTGTGTGGGTGTCTGTCTCCATCTCTCTGTCTCTAACCCTCTGTGTGTGGGTGTGTGTGTCTGTCTCCATCTCTCTGTCTCTAACCCTCTGTGTGTGGGTGTCTGTCTCCCCCTCTCTCTCTCTTCTCTTTATGTCTCTCTCTCTGTCTCTCCCCTCTTCCCTTTAGGTCTCTCTGTCTCTCCCCCTCTCCCTCTCTCTATCGCCCTTCTCTTTACGTCTCTGTGTGTGTGTGTGTGTGTGTGTGTCTGTGGGGCAGTGTGTGTGCCTGTGGGGCAGTGCCTCCCCCCCCCCCCCAGACTTACCGGGTCCCGGTGCTGCCGCTGGTGGTCCCCCGGTGCCCCCCCCCCCCGGGCTGTCCGGGGCCGCACTGAGAGAGGGGGAGAAGCCGCGCACCAGAGCCGCGCGGTCCACCGCCATCCGCACCGGGAGTGGGAGTGAGAGAGAGAGAGACAGAGCCGCTCTCCCCCTCTCCCCTCCTCCTCCCCCCTCACTCCCCCTCTCCCCCTCCCCTCACTCCCCCTCTCCCCTCCTCTCACTCTCCCCCTCACTCCCCCTCCTCCCCCTCTCCCCTCCTCCTCCCCCTCACTCCCCTCTCCTCCCCTCCCCCCCTCTCCCCTCCCCCTCACTCCCCCTCTCCCCTCTCACTCTCCCCCTCACTCCCCCTCCCCCCCTCCCTCCTCCTCCCCCCTCACTCCCCCCTCTCCCCCTCCCCCTCACTCCCCCTCTCCCCCTCCTCTCACTCTCCCCTCACTCCCCCTCTCCCCTCCTCCCCCTCACTCCCCCTCTCCCTCCTCCTCACTCCCCCCTCCTCTCCCCCTCACTCCCCCTCCTCTCCCCCTCCCCTCACTCACTCCCCCTCCTCCCCCTCTCCCCTCCTCCCCCTCACTCCCCCCTCTCCCCTCCTCCTCACTCCCCCTCTCCCCTCCTCCCCCTCACTCCCCCCTCTCCCTTCCTCTCCCCCTCCCCCTCACTCCCCTCCCCTCCTCCCCTCACTCCCCCCTCTCCCCTCCTCCTCACTCCCCCTCTCCCCTCCTCCCCCCCTCCCCCTCACTCCCCCTCTCCCTCCTCTCCCCTCCCCCTCCTCCCCTCCTCCCCCTCCCCTCCTCCCCCTCTCCCCTCCTCCTCTCCCCCTCTCCCCTCCTCCTCACTCCCCCTCACTCCCCCTCTCCCCTCCTCTCCCCTCTCCCCTCCTCCCCTCCCCTCACTCCCCCTCTCCCTCCTCCTCCCCTCACTCCCCCTCTCCCCTCCTCTCCCCCTCTCCCCTCCTCCCCCCCTCCCCCTCACTCCCCCTCTCCCCTCCTCTCCCCTCCCCCTCACTCCCCCTCTCCCCCTCTCACTCCCCCTCTCCCCCCTCTCCCCTCACTCCCCCTCTCCCCCCCTCTCCCCCTCACTCCCCCTCTCCCCTCCTCTCCCCTCCCCCTCACTCCCCCTCTCCCCTCCCTCTCCCCTCCCCCTCACTCTCCCCTCCTCTCCCCCTCCCCCTCACTCCCCTCCTCTCCCCCTCACTCCCCCTCTCACTCTCCCCCTCACTCCCCCTCTCCCCTCCTCTCCCCCTCCCCCTCACTCCCCCTCTCCCCTCTCACTCTCCCCTCACTCCCCCTCTCTCCTCCTCTCCCCCTCCTCTCACTCTCCCTCTCCCCCTCACTCCCCCTCTCCCCCTCCTCTCACTCTCCCCCTCACTCCCCCTCTCCCCCTCCTCTCACTCTCCCCCTCACTCCCCCTCTCCCCCTCCTCTCACTCTCCCCCTCACTCCCCCTCTCCCCCTCCTCTCACTCTCCCCCTCACTCCCCTCTCACTGCTCGGGAGCAGCAGCGCCACTCTGTGTGAGCGTCAGCGACAGCGTCTCTCACTCCCCGACAACACAGTCACTAACTCACACAGTCACTCAGTCACTCACACAGTCACTCACTCACACAGTCACTCACTCACTCACACAGTCAGTCACTCACACAGTCACTCACTCACTCACAATCACTCACTCACTCACACAGTCACTCACACAGTCACTCACTCACTCAGTCACTCACTCACACAGTCACACAGTCACTCACTCAGTCACTCACTCACACAGTCACTCACTCACTCACACAGTCACTCACTCAGTCACTCACTCACTCAATCACACAGTCCCCACTCACACAGTCACTCACTCACTCACACAGTCACTCACTCACTCACTCACTCACTCACTCACTCACTCACTCACTCACTCACTCACAGAGTCACTCACTCACACACACAGTCACTCACTCACACAGTCACTCACCCACACACACTCATTGATACACTCACCCACCCACACACTGCCCCCTCCACACACTCACTCACACACTCACACACACTCACTCACACACTTACTCATACACTGATACACTCACTCACTCACACACACTCACGCACCAACACACCGCTCCCTGCACACACTCACTCACTCACTCCACACTGCCCCCTGCACACACTCACTCACACACACTGCTCCCTGCACACACTCACACACACACTCACACTGATACACTCACTCCCTACTGCCCCCTGCACACACTCACACTGATACACTCACTCCCTACTGCCCCCTGCACACACTCACACTGATACACTCACTCCCTACTGCCCCCTGCACACACTCACAGATACACTCACTCCCTACTGCCCCCTGCACACACTCACACTGATACACACACATACACTGAGATACTCACACCGCCCCCAACACACTCCTCACTGATTCACTCACTCCACACTGCCCCCTATAAACATTCACACCAACATACTCACACTCACACTGATACACACACTCACACTGCCCCCAACACACTCACACTGATACACACACTCACACTGAGATACACACTCACACTGCCCCCAACACACTCACACTGATACACACACTCACACTGCCCCAACACACTCACACTGATACACACACTCACACTGCCCCAACACACTCACACTGATACACACACTCACACTGAGATACACACTCACACTGCCCCCAACACACCCACACTGATACACTCACTCACTCACTCCACACTGATGCACACACTCACGCACAAACGTATTCACTCTCTACCCCCCTCGACGCACACTTGGACACACACACACACAAAGATACACACACTCCCCTCACGCTCTGACTTACTTACCCCCAACTCACTCATTCACTCACAGACACAAACTCACTCACCAGCAATCATGGCCCATCACTCCCCCCCCCCCCACCCCCCACCCCACATGTCAGAAGAATGCATCAAAGTGCTTCACTGTGAAATGGAGTGACTGTGTATTTTTACGGGCGAAACGCGGCAGCACAATTGCGTACAGGAGTGTCCCACAAACAGCCACGGAGCGAGTGACCAATTTTATTTGAGGGGATTGTTGGCCGGGACACAGTGAGAGAAAAAACTCCTTTCTCTTTTCGAACAGCGTCGTGGGATCTTTAACTCCCACCTGAACAGGCAGACAGGACCTCGGTTTAACATCTCATCCGAAGGACGGCACCTCCGACAACGCAACACCCCCCCACCCCCCCACTCCCCCCAGCGCTGCACTGGAGCGTCAGCTTAGACTACGTGAGATGAGATCCTTACGTTGGGGTTTGAACCCACAACCTTCTGACTCGTAGACACAATACATGTGTATATAGGCTGGAATTCACGCGCAGGAGAGGTTACAGAGGCCTATGACTGGGGCTCCAATTTTCCAGACCGAGGTGGATGGACATTTGTTAGGTCAGGTATCGAGGGATATGGAGCAAAGACGGGAGTTGAGGTACAGATCGGCCGTGTTCTAATGGAATGGCGGAACAGGCTCGAGGGGCTGAATGGCCTCCTCCTCTTCCTGGGGAGTTAGCAGTTGGATCGTCCATTGTCCGTCGGGAAACGTAGGTTCCGCAAGGTTTCTCTGCCTCACTTTAAATCTACCGACGAGAGAGCCTGACAGTGGGCCAGAGACACGGAGTAGTAATCCAGCGCCCCCCACCCGGGTCATTTAACAGTGTAACCAGTCCTGCGTCTTTTTTTTTTTTGCTGCTACTGCGTCAAAATAAATAATTCTACAGCTCACCAGGGAGCGATGGGAAAACTTGGCAACGTATATCTGATTTGCATTATAAGGCCTCGGAGCACAAATTCAACCGAGCAGAGCTGTGCCTCTGTAACGCACAGTGTTAATGTACTTTGTGTCTAAGAGACTGTTGTGTAATTGAGCCGATGCTGACGATTTGGTTGAATGCTTGGGTTGGGAACCATCCTCATGTCGGTATTAGACGCCCAATGATTTGTCCTTGCGAGTTAGTTACCTTTATTGTTGAAGGCAAAATTTTGGGAGTGAATTTTTTTCTTCAAGAAGAGAGAACAACTAATACATATTGTTCAAAACAATTTACTGAAGCGATGCCTTCTTGGGATAGACAGAAAGGAATGTACAAATCTTCGGCTCACGTCCCCAGTCGCTAACCTGGGTGGAAGGCGGGTCATGAATGCAAGTTGTCGTCGTTGTCGAGCGTCTTCTGGAGCGTGTAGTGATGCAGAACGCAGCCGAAGATCAGAGTTTGGGGGGCTGGTGGGGGGAGAGAAAGGAAGCGATGGGCTTATAACAAAGATTTTAGATAACGCTACTCAGAAATGCAACTCAGGTTTGCAATTTCTCTGTGCGTCAAAAGTAATCAACTGCTCCACGGGAGAAGCTAATGCTTTTGATAAAGATCACTCGTCTTTGAAAGGGAAAACTCATTCAAATAGACAGGAGTGGCGGCGTGAATGGAGTCAAAGATTGTCCCAATAAGGACGGGGTTTGGTTTGCACGCTCTATTATTTTCAACAAAAGAAATCGCAATAGCATTCGAATATAATTCTTTTAAGGTGTGACGTGAAATCAATGCTCTTATTCACTCTGCACTCTTGACGCACTGGTACAGGTTAGAGAAGACCTAAGGATGAGATTTTCTGATTGTCAGCGAGTTTATAGACCTGGTCGATTGGGTGGGGGGGGGGGCGGGGGGGGGGGATGGAGAAAAATCCCTTTGCAAACTCATGGCTCTTCAAGGTTATATGACACAGGAGGCCAAACAGCACATCAAGCTCCGCTACTTAATCAATGAACACAGATCTTTTAATTCTATTTACCTGCCCTTTGTAAGCTACCAAATCCCTGTCTCCCGCTGAACTTTACCAATCGATTTCTCCAGCTGGACAGGAGGTGAAAAGACTGAACTAATACTAACAATAATCCTTGCATCCGATACAGCGCCTTATCGCGTCGTTCAGACGTCTCAAAGCGCTTATCAGAATATATTGCAAAGCAGATCGACTGTGCATTTTGTGGGCGAAAGGCGGCAGACAATTACACTGCAGCGCAGCAAGTCGCAGGCAATATTTGAAACTTGTGAAATATTCGGTAGATAAACCGTAATTCCT